AAGGATTGAATTACATGAAACAACATGGAAATATCTAGAAATATTTCACTCAATATAATATCAAGTAAAAAAAAAAGTACCAGAAGACTATATACTGTAAGACAACCGTTTTTTAAAATATATTTTTATTGATTTCAGAGAGGAAGGGAGAGGGAGAGAGAGATAGAAACATCAATGATGAGAGAGAATCATTGATTGGCTGCCTCCTGCATGCCCCCAACTGAGGATCTATCCCACAACCTGGCATGTGCCCTTGACTGGAATAGAACCTGGGACTCTTCAGTCCGCAGGCTGACGCTCTATCCCCTGAGCCAAACCAGCTAGGGCAAGACAACCTTTTTATAAAGCTCAAAACCAAGCAGAACTAAAAGACTATATCACTTAGTGATGTAGACATATGATGACCTTATTGTTTTAAAGATAAGAAAAGATAAAACATAAAATGCAGGATAGTGGCTCCCTGTGGAGTATAGGCAGGGAAGTGGGATGGGAAAAGAATCCCTAGGCTGGTACAAAAATTGGTCACAATCCAGTTTTTAGGTTGGATAGTGGGTTCATGAGTATAATACTTAGGGTTGTGCTTCCTAAAAATACTTTCATACACTCTTTGGTATGTATAGTTTATTTTTTGTCTTTCTTTGACTAATTTATTTCACCTGTATGTATAGTTTAAAAGGTTATACACACATAAGGTGTATATCTACAAAATATTAGTAAAAGAGTCATACTCAATACTCAGTACATATTTATAAGCAGAGGCCTGGTGCATGAAATTGGTGCACTGGTGGGGTGTGTGTGAGTGTGTGTGTGTCCCTTAGCCCGGCCTGTGCCCTTTCGCAGTCCGGGAGCCCTCAGGGGATGTCTGACTGACGCAGGGAGCGGGCCTAAGCCATCAGTCAGACATCCTTAGTGCTGCCGCGGAGGTGGGAGAGGCTCCTGCCACCACCTCTGTGCTCGCCAGTCGTGAGCCTGGCTTCTGGCTGAGTGGAGCTCCCCCTGTGGGAGCACACTGACTGACCACCAGGGGGTAGCTCCTGCATTGAGTGTCTGCTCCCTTGTGGTCAGTATTCGTCTTAGCGACCAGTTGTTCCATCGTTTGGTCGATTTGCAAATTAGCCTTTTATTATATAGGATGTCAGGACAATTTAATAATACAAATCAAACTGGGAAATTTAAAAATGTGCAGAGAATTTCTGTGTCTAAAAGGCTCATTTAAAAATCCAGGGGTTTTTATTTACATTCATCATTAAGAAGCTCTGCTGATAAGTCACTTTACATGAGATTTTTACAACTTTGTAATAAATGGCAAAACCAAAAAAGAAATGAGGACATTGTGGAACAATATCATACTTGAAACAACATCGCTCCCTCGTCTCCCTCTGTTTGATTTGTAATCAAACTCTGTTCTAAAGATTTCTTAAACCCAAAAGCTATAATTCTGAAAGTTTCTTCAGAGAATTTACTATTTTTAAAAGCTATTTTTAATGTTCTTTATATACGTGCAAAGCTGACATGAGTTAATTGCATAGTTGAAATGGTAATTACCTGGTAACTATTTATCACTATTATTTGTAGCTCATGAAAACCTAGGATTGCAATTAGCTCTGTTCATTATCATGTCACTTGTAATGGTAAAATATTTGCATAATGTATATTGTATGATACTCTTTTCTTCCCTGTGAAATTCAGATAATATTTTACTTTAGCAACAAATCTTTTAGGCTTTTATGTAGAGATTAAGGAAAGTTACCTTCCACTTGTTTTCTGCCGCACAAATATTCATAGTGCTTGTCCCAAAGACTAAAGTCTTTGTGGAATAAGAACTTGTGTATTCTTTTTGAGGTTTATGTAACAGATTTACTAAAATGTCACTCAAGAAGTATAAAAATTAGACTAATCATCTCAGTATCAGCAGGCAATCAATGTATATTAAAGTATTGAATTGGTGGTCAGAACTGAGCTTGAATTCCCAACTTCTTATTTGCTGAACTGTGATATTCATTTAACATCTTTGTGCCTTACTACCCTCATATTTAAACAGAGATAATAGCTCCTCTAGTCTCCTCAAAGGCTTGTTATGAGAATGGAAACATATATGAAAAACCTTTATAATCTCAAGGAATATGCAAATGTTTGTCACTAGAGGAAGGTCTTTTTTATTTCTCAAATATATTAAAATTCACAGTAAACTATATCAAAAAGTTTATTTAGGTATCTATAAATTACTATGTAGATGACATGTATTTCTTAATAGAAATAAGAAAATGCTGATAGGGTCTGCTTGAAAAATCATTCTACTGATTTTCACACAAAGTAACTACTTAGATGTAAATATCAAAGACTATATCCACAGACTCCTTAGAATATTTAGATTTATTAGTGAAGTCAAGCCCTCCTTTTCCTATTTAACCTCCAGAGAGACCAGTGTGGTCTTTTTTCTTCTTTATTTAGGTATTGTGGAAACAGAAATCATGCCTCTCACTACTATCTGCTGTTATCATCAAAACAGTAATGCTATGGACAGGCTGGATGGGCCTGTAGGTTTGGAATTATTCTATTCCAGGGCCTAGTTTGACTTGCAGTTCTGGTATCTTGATCTGGTATATTGCTCTTGCCGTAGAGAAATAGGTCCATGTACAGAGAGGCTGTACGAAAGCCATTTGCTAACTTACAGTAAGAAATACTGGAAACTCATCTTCATAATAACATTAATGCATTACCTTTGCTTTATAGTTCCCAAAGGCTTTTGAACCCAATATCTCATTTTTGAACCTCATAACTTATGAATTTGGGAGAGAATGACCTAATTTATTTCTAAACTGTTTCTCTATTTACCAGGTGCAAAATACCGGAAAGTACAAAGCAGAACAGGTGACCGTGTGGTAGTTGTCAAAAATAACACACTTTTAACAGTTTTTCATATTTCCATCCTGTTTTTTTTCTTTGCATGTTTATGTAATTGAGATCATATTGTACATGCCGTTTAAATGTCAACGTTTTTCATTTTTTTCTGGTTGTGATGGCAATCTATGCCTTTCGTAAAAACTTTGAAAAAGTTGTAGAACACAGACAAAAGTCCAAAGCAGAAAATGAAAAAAACACTGCAGTTAACCACCACGAACATTTTGGTGTATTTCCTCCCAGTATTTTATTCCTTCTTCTTTTTTAAACGCAGTAGGGCTCAGACCAAGGCAGGAGTGCTTGGGCGGCCTCCACCGTCCAGCCGGGCGATGGGAACGGCAGATCAGCACTCCTCTTCCTGGACAGGGGTAGCGAGAGGGAATATTTTCCCTTCACGCTCACCCGTCTCCGTATTCTAAGCGGGTTTGTACATAGTTCTCTTCTTTCCCCCACATCCTCAAGGCCACTGACACCTGCCCGTATTTCAACAAGTGATCCTGACGGCGTCTGGAAGCCCGTACTCCTCTCCGCGGTCTTTCACTTCTGCTCGTTGAAGGACTCCCGCCCCCACTTCACCTTCTGCGGAGACTGCGGAGGTGGCAGGAGCTTCCCAGGGGCCTCCAAACCCAAACGGCGGTCAGAGCCCTCGCCCCGCGGCAGGGTCGGGGACCGCGGTGTCTCCCCGGGAAGGGTTGTGATTAAGGAGGGCCTTCGCGGCTAAGTCTCCGTCCTAGGGACCAGCGGCCGGCGCGTCTTCGCCTCTCCCGAGGTTGTCATCAGAGTGCATGTCCTTGGGGCTCCGACTCTTCACACCCTACTGTTCTCGGGGGGCTCTTTCTCCTCTAAAGCTCACGGATCGCTCTTCGCCTCTCGGGGATCCTGGAAAGCCTCTGTCACCGAACCCCGAGGTCCGATCCCCTGCGCTTCGCTTTGCGAGCCCGGAGAAGTGCGTCCCTCCTCGCTTGCCTTACGCCCGGCGAGGCGGGGACCGCACTATTGTGCCGCCTGCCGGAGGGGGGGACGCTCACGTGCGGCTCTCCGCTTTCCAGCCGGCTGCAGGGGCTCCCGAGATACCCACGTTCAGACCACCAGGCCCAGGATTACATTGTCCTGGGAGCCCGCGCGGAAGGGAGGAACGGCCGTACACTGAGCTAGGCGGCGGGCGCACCCCTTTGCTCCCCCTCGATTCGCCTGGACCGCACGGGGCTGCGAGCGCGCCAGCCGCCGCCGAGCTTCCTCAGCCTTTGACAGCTCGGCCCGAGCACCTCGCGGCCCGGAGTCCCCGCTCCAGGGGCGGGGCGGGGCGCGCGCGTGCGGAGAGGGGCGGGGCGAGCGGGAGGCGGGAGGTCGGGAGGGGGCGCGCGAGCGGAGCCGAGAGGAGCCGAGCTGGGAGGTGCTGGGAGAGGCAGGCTGAGCCGGCCGGCCGCCTGCGTCTCCGCGCCGTTCGAGCTGCGTCGCGGGGCTCCGCGTACCCCCACCTCTGCTCAGGCTCCCGCAAAACTTTTATTCTCTTGGGCCCCCGGGGTGTCTGAAGGAATCGGAGCCCTCGGCCGGCTCTGTGCTTCCCCTGCAGCGCCGGCCCTAGAGGGGACCTGCATCCCTCGCCCGCCGGGCTCTCGCGCCCGCGCCTCTTCACTTGCTGATCGCACCCCG